TGGGGCCGTGAACTCACAGGTTTAGCGAATGCCAAATGTTTCCTTAAGAGACCTGCTTAACACTTGCTCGAACTCCCTGATAGAGCAATCAATACTTAATAAGAAGAACTTCTAAACTACCATGACTTGAGCTGGGTAAAGCTGTTCAATGCAATATCGCCAGATACTAATACCAATACAGCTGATACATCAAATATTTGGTTTGAAGGGAAAATTCCAACATCTAAATAATGGCATCATTAAATGCCATTTCAAAACAAATGATCGCAGCCGCCAACTGTTGGAATCAAGAGATTTTGAGTGGGTTTAACATCCTTCCCAAGAACAATTTACAGCCTTGAGTCACCCGCCTCCCCAAATCGGTTGCGTGCCCAAGAATGGCAGCAAAATGAGGCGGTTTCGACTCAACAATGTCAAAAATAGAGACTGCTATCACCAAATTCCTTATCTCTAAATAATTTCAGAACAGAAAATAGAACAAATGAGGAATTTCAGTTAGCAAGCTACAAGATGAGATAAAAGATTTAGAGACGCATGCAGAGCCAAATCACCCGAATGTGATATCGGCCTTATATGCGAGAATTCTCTTATTCTTTCTAGGATTAAAAGATTTCTTAGGTCACAGGTTACCATCTGATGAAGACACATGCAAGTCTTCGATGGATAATCTCACCATCTTTAATTTTCGAAACTTGTGTTGAGCAGGAAGAGAAATTAGGAATTTAAGCACTAAAAGAGCAATAGATGGCTTTTAGAACTTACGTTTTTGAAGACGAGGCAGATATGAGCGACCCGAACAAGGCATAATTCCTAAACTTGCAGGGAGAAGAGTTTGGCTTGAAGGTGATGAACTTAGAGAGGGAGAATCGAGAAAAAGGCTGGAGCTTTTTGAATAAAGGAGAGTTTTCAAAAGAGAAGGGGGGTATTTATATGGGGCTTCTAAAGGAGTAGTGTGCTGGCCTCTAAAGGCCCAAGCCCATAGGGCTTTTACTTCTCTAAGCTGAGCCCCAAAAATATAAAATAACCAAAACGTCCAAGTCTGGAAAAAAACCAACTGCCGTGCCAAATCGATCGATCATGGGAAACCATCGTCTCAGTAAAAAGGAAACATAGCTTCTGCGAAGAGACACCAGAGCCTCTGTGAAGAGACAATAGAGTCTCTATGAAGAGACGATAGAGCCTCTGTGAAGAGACACCAGAGCCTCTGTGAAGAGACACCAGAGCCTCTGTGAAGAGACACCAGAGCCTCTGTGAAGAGACAACAGAGCCTCTGTAGCTATCATCAAAACCTCTATAGCTGTCACCAGAGCCTCTGCGGCTGTACCAGAACCTCTGTGGCTATCACCAGAGCCTCTGGTTGTTCAATCATCTGGTTGATCAGACGACCTCTTCAGAATCGTACTCTGGATAAGGTTAATCCTAAAAGACTTAGTTTTTCATATGAAGGTTCCGAAATATGGTTTTAACCTGAAAATCCAAAAGTGCAGAGTTGTTACAAAAGTAGACAAAGACTGGATTTGAATCTTCAATAATAATGTCCCCCTCATGCGATTTAGCACGGGCGCCCCGCTAAAAATTAGCTTCGTTGGACAAGACTTCACCGGTGAAAGGAATTATCGGACAACAAACAAGACTACTTATCAGGATAAGGAACTCTCCGGATACTATGTTCTCCGGACACAGAGTTATCCGGACACAATAAAAACAAAAGCTTATCGAACAATACACTTCTCGGGATACCCTTAGTCTGGACACAATGTTATCCGGATAACAAAGGTTATCGAATAAGGTCTTCTCCGGATACTTCTTCTTCGTATACCACTTCTTCTCCGGATACCAAACAAAACTATCCGTATACCCTTTGTACAGATCCGACTTATCCTGATAACAAAGTTATCAGACAAGTCTCTTATAGCTTGATGAATTTCTTCATCGGACGATGAAGATAAAGTATTGTAGAAAAATCTAAATTACACACCGAAATGCTCAAAACAAGATCAAAATGAATACTAATTGCACWGATAAACTCGAAAACATATCACAAACAAAATTGTAATATCAAAWTCGAACAAAAACAGATCAAAATCAATCAATTTGACAAAATTATTCAAGAACAATTTCAAGAACTTCAATATACAAAAATCGAAAATTGAATCAACACAACAAATCTATTGCAATTGAATGAATCTGGTATGTTTTTAACACAAAACGTACACAATTCAACCAAAAATACAAATTCACACGAAAATTGAGGGATTAGAGTAGAAAATGAAGAAACATTCAAACGATCACTCAAGAACAGTCCAAATTCAATCCAAATCTTGTTTATGAACTCCTTTTAGTCGCTGCAATCTGCTCTGATACCAATTGCTAATCCCAGTTTGATTAACCAATCTTCATGTAAAATCAAGAACACTAAAATGACAAAATATGAATCTTGAAAGTAGTAAAGATTGAGAGAGAATCTTCCAACTTGTATATTAATCTTCAAAGTGTACTTACAAAAATGATTAGAAAGTGAAAGTGTTATTACAAGACTACAAAAGACAAGAACTATTATAGTAGGCAATTACAATACAAAATTACAATGAAGAAACTAAGATTGAATACAATACTAAGCACATAAACTCAAACCCAACATAAAGCCCTCTCTCCGGACATGAACTGTCCTCATTGGACAATTCTAGATCAATGAGGCACGCTCTCAGGTCAAGGACTGTCCTCATCAGACAACCCTTGAACGATGAAAGCCTCACCGAATAGTACTTAGGCGATAAGATGTCCTTACCGGTCAACACTGTGAAACAAGAATATTTAAACCGAACAATGCTTTGTCTGATGAGCATCCTCTCTAGACAAAGCGTTGAACGATAAGCATCTAATCCGGTCAACTCTCGAAACCCCAATCACATTAAATTCATTCAACGCATGGGAAATAAGCTGCTCAAAGAGGGAAATACCCTATCCAGTGAAGGTCTTCACCAGACAATGCTTTATCCAGTGAAGTCCTCATCGGACGATACATAAATTGCACAAGTTCTTCGCCAAAAGCATGACCGATAAGGGACTCTCATTGGACAACATAGTGTCCGATAAAAACCCCCTCATTGGACCATGCACATACATAAAATCATATACATTTGAAACATTACTTTTAGACTATGAAACTAGAATTTACCAATCAGTATATGCTCAAATTCAAGACCCTGTTAACAAAAAAAACTCACCATAGACCAAATGCACTGCTTTCTGTTTATCAGGTTTGCCAAAGTTTTTCTTTTTTCCAAAAGAAGAAACCTTTTCAAAAAGCCCTATTTCATATATATATATATACTAGTGGTGTACCCGCGCGATGCAGCGCGGGTAAATCACAATTCGAAAACATTAGTTTGGCTTTGAATCATGAGTTTATGTGGTTATTTTACAAGTCAACTAATATATAAAGTTGAAGGTCAATTTTGTTTGTTAGAAAGATCAAATGAAAAGAAAATTGCATATATGTCGGGTTTCTGAAACCATCTACTCAGAGCTCGTTACAAAACTTGAAATTCGTGAATGAACAAAAAAATACAATCGTTCGTAAAATAATGTTCATCCGTATATTCGAACTGTTGTTTGCTTTTCGTGATGCACTCATCCGTAAATATTTCCTGCAAAAAACGGCGCAATGGTTTTAATAGAAACATATGGTACAAAATGTGTAATAATATAATTGTTGATTATACCTTATTCATCACGTAA